CACGACACCTCCACAGCCCCACGGGATACACCACGGCCACTGGGACTGTCATTATCAACAGCAGCAGCAGCCGCCATGGTATACCCGCAGGCGCAGCACAGCACAACGGCCAACACACACATCACACGGCTCATTATCATGAGAGAGACAAGGGTTTGGATTGCGTAAAAACACTGATCTAGAAAGAAAAACAATCAAAAAGCAAAAAAAAGAAAATAAATGAAGCATCAAACATGTTAGGACACACAAATCGATTACCACTATGGAAACTCACATCGTGAAAGTAAAACTACCAGTTAAAGAATGCAATACAGCGCAATAACCTCATTAACAGTAAAAAGAAAAAAAAAGCCCACACTCACAAATATATCAAAAAAGACTCAACCACCCAGCAAAATCATCAAGCAAAGAAAAAGATATTAATCATTAGCCCAACGTACCCAGTAAGCACAGAAATATACACCAACTATGGGTATAAGTCTATATGTGTGTATAAACGCAATTATAAATATAAATCCATCTGTTATTATTATTTCCTTTTCCCTCATTGCAAAAAACAGTTCATCATCATCATCATTATAGTGCAAGCCCAGGTGCACACACACAATGGAGTAGTAACAATAATAATAGGATAAACATAGAGAGCAAAAACAACACAAAACACATTAACATTAAGAAACAAAAAAAGAAGAAACTCCCAACAGGTGGAAGATTAGTTAGACTGTAGTGTGGATGCATGCAAAAAAAAAAAAGAAAAAGAAAACAAAGGATGACCTGAGTCACACCACCACACCACCACTAGCACAATCAGTACACAAGAATACAGGCCAGTGTAACCACAATCAGTAGTGGTAGACGTACCCACACAGAACTGCTGATACTGCTGCTGCTGTCTGCATCACCCTTCTTGTTGTTTGTGGGTTCAGGAGGAAGTGTTGTTGTTGTCGTTGTTGTTGTTGTGGTGGTGGTTGAGTCCTCATTACTGGCTGTAGTTGAAGTTTCAGAGTTCGTACTCGCTGAGTTATTTGTTGATGTCTGTGCAGAATTCTCACTACCTGCGGCTCCATTAGTATGCGAAGATGCTGAAGGAGTAGATGGTTCTGTACCAACACCTGCTTGAGGTTGTGTACCACTGGTGTCTGCATCGTTAGTGCCTTGTGTACTATTCTCGTTGGGGGAAGTTGGTGCATTTTC